GTTGATCTGACAGCAATTGCTGTACTCTTACGGGATCCGAAATCTGGCCTTTTTGTACATTCAAACTGTATGTTCCAGTGAGTCGAAGCAAAATGCTTCAGCGTGGATTTCATTTCTGACTCTCTTTCACTTCCCACAGAAGCCATCTCGAAAATATTGCTAACAAATTTATACAATAAAAAAAGGAGTTCCACGATATCCTCCAAAATTTCTTTGTTTGTTTTTTTTTTTTGGTGTTTTTGCTCTGTACTTCTGAAAAATTACTCTCCCCACGAATTCAGCCCTTGCAGCGCTACTCGTTGCCAGTCAGGCCTCTATAAGCTTTCTCTACAAGCGAATCTCGAAAGGGGGGTCCATTCGCGAGCGCCTTGTACAAGTATTCTTGCTGATCTTTGCAATTACTTCTTTCCTTGCGTGCGTTTTACACCTTTCTAATAGTTTTGGTACCTCTTTTGCTACATTTTCGTGTTCTTCCGGCTCTGCTGTGCACACACCTTAGTTTTGCAATTTTCTCTACGTTCCAGAGATTCTGCTGCGAATAATTTTTCGAGCTAAAGATTTCAAACTTAGTTAAGACTTGCACCTCCGTCATGCATACTGACACATCAAGATTTGTCGTTGGCACCGTACCTAATTCTAGCTTAACTAGAAAAGGACAGTTGAGATGTCATGACGAACGAAGCTTTCAGTCTATTTTTAAATCTATGAAGCCAAATAAGGCAGCCGGTCTAAATCAGATCCGTGTCGAGGAACCAAAAGCCAGTGGTGAAACAACAACAAAAACACCTAGTCCACGATTCACTTGGTATCTGGAAACAGTACAGGCAAAGTGGAAGAGATCCAAAACCATACTGCTGTCGAAGAAAAAAGACCTGGAGAATATTGCCAGTTTGAATTACTGTTTCTGTCCATATATGCTTCACATCTACTTTCACTCCATATTTACATTACTATTTTTGCTCATATCTACTTCTACCTCTCCTCAGTTTCCCGGAAACACTGAGGCAAGAGCGCTTATACAGCACAGTGAGCGCATCTTTTTTAATACAATTTTTATTAAAAAAGAAAAAAGTAAGAGGGAAGAATGGATGAAAAAAATTAATCTGAAAGAAAGGATAAAAAGTTTCAAAATTGGAAAAAAAATGTTTCGGTCTATAAAGTCGTATACGGAGTGGTCTTACCGAGGAAAATGCACTGAAATGCGCATCGTTTATTTTGATGCTTATTCCTATGACACTGTTCTGCTTTACTCGCATTTGTCTCTGTCTTGGTGCTTTTCCATTACATGTAGACTAATGGAATGGCCACGAATGATCCTCATTGGTGTCTTGATGAAATCTATACACCGACTATTCGGCGCACTGAATCCGAGAACAAGTATGGACAATACTGCATTTCTGGAGCTATGCCCAGGTAGATGTAAGGTCAGCTTATCATCGAGCACATATTCAGGAAGGACATTGTCCACCGCACAGTGCTTTCATTAAATCTCCGCTGAGACGCTAACCAGTATATTCACATCCAGAAAAACCTGTTATAGTTGTCATTTTGAAGTGCTCGAGATGTGATTTCTCAGAAAATCCCCGTGAAACTCTTGGCGCCACTGCGATACTCATCTAACTGAAAGTTTCACATTGACAGCAGCATATGGGGTATTTTCCTCTTTCTTGTCCTCTTCCTTGACCTTTTCGCGCCAAAATTTGTTTACAAGTTGCTCATCACATTGTTTTCGACATGTCATTTTTTTGTGATTGGCTACTTTGTCTTCGCAATATCTCTGAACACCTCCTACACAAGCTCCTTGCAGGCGATGAGACTGTAAATGCTGCCCCTCGGAGTGGTCAGTACTATCTTTGCCCCCTCCTCCCTTTGCCCCTACGCGCCATCAGAAGCAAGAGATAACGGGGGATGGGGCAAAAAGAAGGATTTTTTGTGGGCGGATCTCCTGATCTGGCGCTCAAATGAAACTATTTAAATGATCGACAGCGTGATGCACGCCAGTTCAGTCGTCAGCGCTCGTCCAGGACAGTGGTCCTCTCCGACTATGCATCTCCATCAGCACTTCCTTCACCCCGAGTCGACAGTGCTTCGGCTATTCTCGATTGTGGTGTTCCCAGGACGGTCCCAATCTTGCATCTCGTGCCGGTTTCTGGACCTACATCGCGTGTGGACCTGCTGGAGTCCTAAACCTCCATCCCGGTTTACAGCTACGCTGGCCGGGATACGCCGAAGGCATTTTCATGGGGCTACGGCATTCCTGGATCTACGCCCAGGTTGATGGTGAATTTTGGTCATCACCGGGTCGTGGATTCACGAATGACGCTTTCTGCATCTCGTGCCGGACTCTGGACTTACAGAAGTCCTGCACCAGAAGCCCACGACTTCTGGATCCATATCCCGATTTAAATCTCCACACTGGCCAGGAGACCCCGAAACATCTGCGCGGAGCTGTGGCATTTCTGGATCTATGCCCAGGTTGATGCTGAGTTTTGGTCATCACCGGGTTATAGATTTAGCAATGACGTTTTCCGCATCTCGTGCTGTGCTGTGGGCCTACAGAAACCCACGACTTCTGGATCCATATCCCGATTTAAATCTCCACACTGGCCAGGAGACCCCGAAACATCTGCGCCAGGCTACGGCATTTCTGGATCTATGCCCAGGTTGATGCTGAATTTTGGTCATCACCGGGTTATAGATTTAGCAATGACGTTTTCCGCATCTCGTGCTGTGCTGTGGGC